AGTATTAGTATTTTCCATGTTGTGTATAGCCTGATATATCCCTTTTAAAATATAAATAGTTTTAATATTAAGAACATTGCAAATTAAAGTAGAATGAGAAAGAAAAAAGAGAAAGGGAGAAATAAAAAAAGCTAAGAGTGCAAAAAAGTAAGAGGAAGAAAAAGAAAAAGTAGAAAAAAGAAAATATAAAAAAGGTATAAATATACAATTATTTTTTAATCTCTGTCTCTTAAGGTTTCATCATGATTTTCTTCTTTCTATAGCCTATCCTGTCTAATCATCAAAATAATAAATCACATTCATTTTTATGCAAAAGTCCTTGAGAGTTTAATCTGGTATTTCCTTAATTGTTCACAACTCATGTCAGCCACATCATTATTAACATAGCAATGTCTCTCAAATGTCAAATATACTTATTTTTATTAATTAATTAATACAACTATTCATTGTCTACTTCCAAAACAACTTGAACTGATTTATAATGCAAGGCAAAACAGCTATTACAATGATCAGCTAGTGAAACTAACTAAGCTAGCTGAAGTAGCATGAACAGCTGTGTGTTCATAATGATAAAAAAACATTATCTTTTTTCAATGCTTGGAAATTGGGAATATTCCTTATTTTGGAATATATATATATAAATGATACACAGTAATGGGAGCCTTAAATGTAGGACAGATCATTTTTTTGTTCGTGTCAGGAATAGTTCTTGGAATAAAAGGACACCACTCTCAATATGTAAAAGAGGTGCGGTGGGAGAGGAGGAGGAGGAATTTGTTTAATTGAACAGAAACCAATGTTCTGGCCTGCTGAATGGTTGAGGGACAATTTAATATATATTTTTCTATATTTTGGCAGAAATGAGCAAATAAAAGGACAAAACCAAATTCTTACTGTAAGATTTAAGGAAACAATAAGTTGTCAAGTGGATAGAAAAAATGCACAATCTTCTGTGATGAGGGGAGGGGAAAAATACTGAGATTTTTTAGCAAAAGGAACAGTGATAGATCTGCCAATTATTATCCTAATCAAAGGCCTTCACTTCTGCAAGGCTGGATAGATTTGGAAATTCAAATTACAGATTACTCCAGAGTTTAAGATTATTTCTTTCACATTCAATATAAAAAAGAAAGGTATATCAATTGAGTATGTCTGTGTATAATAATTATCCTTCTGTCTGCTTCTTAAATAAGCAAGCGTACACCTTACTCTGGCTTTCCTACTACAACAAAGGTTACCAAAGAAGGTAATAGAGGTTGATAAGCTTCCTTTGTTTATTTTTAAAAAATAAGGAGTGCCATCTGCTTACCAAACATGTCTCCTCTTGACAGCATTTTAAATATTCTTTTTTTTAATGTTGCCCAAATTTTGCTGAGTCAGGGGATCATGGAAAAGGTACTTTAAAAATACCCACTTCTCTGCCAGTCTATGATCCCTTTTGGAGCCATCCAGACTTGCTTGCTAATCAATTTGTATGTGAATGGCAATTTCACTACAGTAGATATATTTTCTTTCCTGATTTTACATATTAAATATATATTGCTTCCTCCGTTCTTTTACTTACACCCTTACTGTGAATTCTATAATACTGCTTATACCAAAATGGAATTGTATGATGGGTATGCATGTGTACATATGTATGTATGTTTGTGTATATCTGTATTTGTATTTGTATGTCTCTATATGTATATATGCAAAGCTATGTATAGTAGGAGAGTCTACAGCTAGTATAGTGAACTGCCCAAAGAAGGTCATGGAAGCATGCTGATATAGAAGCTCTTCACAATATACAGAGGTTTCCACCCCAATTCCAACACCCGAGACTGTAAAGTTGGAAAAATGATGGGCAGGGTCTGATGAGTGTCAAAGCCACTGTCCTGGATCAAATTCAGAACATCCAGAAATACATCAGTAAGATGGTACCAAAAGATGAACTGCTGAGAGACTGACTGATATGGGAAGAAGATGAAGCAGAGGAAGTACATGGCAAGACTATACCCTTGATTTTGAGATGGTCTATCAACAGATAGTTGAGGTGGTTGATATTGGTAAATCCTACCAGTAGCTGGAAAAGACTGGAGTAAAAGACAACACCTAAGCACTGATCATTACAGCACAAGAAGAGGCACTATGTACCAGATCCATAGAAAGAGAGGTCTACCATAGTAGACAGAACTCAAGGTGCAGACTATGCAGAGAGCCTCAGAAATAGTCCATTGCATAATGGCAGAGTGTAAGATACAGGCAGAAACAGCACTCACTGAATGGCACAACAAAATAGCTGGCATTATGTACAAGCACATCAGTGCAATGTATGGTTAGATCCTTCCAAGTTCAGATGGGAGATTCCACAGAAGGGAATGGAAAATAACAGGGCTAAGATCCAGTGGGACTTCCAGATCCAGACAGGCAAGTACTCACCAGTCACCCAGATAACATGATAGTAGACAAGGACTAGATGACAATTGTAGTGATAGATGTAGTGGTGCCAAGTGATAACAACATCAGGAGGAAAGCGCATGAGAAGATAGTGAAGTACCTGGGCCTGGAGGAGAACTAGAGAGAATGTGGAAAGCAAAGGTCAAACTGATCCCAGTAATGGTAGGCTACTCAGCCTGTGACTCTTAAGGTGGGAGAATGATTCCAACAGATCCCAGGAACAACAAAAGAACACTCTGTCCAGAAGACCTAAAAAATGCTGAGACTCTAGAAAGAGTGCAGAGAAGAGCAACCAAGATGATTAGGGGACTGGAGCCTAAAACATATGATGAACAGTTGCAGAAACTGGGCATGGCTGGTGTAGTGGAGGAAAGGACCAGGGGAGACATGATAGCAATGTTCCAATATTTGAGGGGCTGCTACAGAAAGGAAGGGGTCAGGCTATTTCCCAAAGCTCCTGAAAGCCAGACAAGGAATAATGGATGAAAACTGAACAAGGAAGGATCCAACCTGGAAATAAGGATAAACTTTCTGACAGTGAGAGCAATCAACCAATGGAATAGCTTACCTTTGTATAAGCTTTATCACTGGAATCTTTAAAGAAGAGATTGGACTGCCATTTGTCAGATATGGTGTAGGATCTCCTGCTTGAGTGGGGGGTTGGACTAGATGAACTACAAGGCCCCTTCCAACTCTGTTAATTTGTATCTGTAGAGGGCAGTGCTGGAAATAGCTAATATACTGTGCAGAACCATCAAAGTTCCAGGCCTCTGGTAAGGAACCTGAAATTGATGAGGAATTGAAAGGGAGTTTGTTTGTTTGTTTGTTTGTTTGATTACATGCCTACATACTGTATGTCAAGAGAGCCAACTGGCAGAATTCGATCACTGAACCATGAATGATAAATATCCAAGCTAAATAAAAGGACAACTGCACCTCAGTCCAAAAGTGACTTGTATAGAGGGGTCACCAAACCTTTTCAGAATAACTGTTTAGTAACTACTGGATTTTAATGTGATGGTTGACAAACTGGATGAAAATTTCTTAATGTGGGTGTGAGAAAAGCTGAATCAGCATCTCTTTTTAAGCCTTGAATAAGCACAAAATCCCCCAAAAGCCCATGGAAGGTATAACCAAACTACTTCTATCTATTTGATCACAGAATAGAGGAGGGAGACCAGAAGTAGTTATTTTTTCTTAGATTCTCATTAATTTGGAATCCTTATAGTTGTATGGCATAATTGAAGAAAAGCTCTATCATGTTATTTCTAATGAGTTTCTATCTTGCACTTTCATTGGTTCATATTATAGTCTGCTAAAAGAGTCCATGTTGGCTTTCTGTTTCCCTTGAAATATTGTAATTTTCTTTATTTATACTCATGAATCATGAACATTGGGCTTACAAAGTTCATCTTAAATTAATTTAATGTCATTTTTGTGCATACAGCAGGTGCCATTGAATTAGTATCAAAATAAAAATAATGATAGATTTCTTCTGTAATAACACCACCAAAACATTTAGAGGATTGACATAAAGGGACTGAATGAAATCTAATAAACCAGAAAGGCAAAATATGAGAAGTAAAAAAGAGGAAACTGAACAAAAACATTTTGTCAACAGAACTTGGTTATTTCTTAAAACAGGTGATAAAACAGCTATAATAGCAACTTTTCCATTATACTTTTATAACTCATATCTGAGTTATGTCAACAGAAATAAATCAATTCCCCTATCTTCAACTGTCTGTTCCTATAGGAAGAGGATAATTTTGGTAATTTCTCCTAAATCCTACAAACATGATCAAAGTCTTCTCATATATTCTTCAAAGAAAATGGATGAACAAGCTGTGTTTTAAAGCTGTAAGCAGCTTAGGCTTAGGATACCTAAGCCTACTTTCATATGGAATTTTGCCTGTTTATTTAAAAAAACAACAACCCAGGGTTAATACTTTGTTTGTGATTGGTTAGAATATATGAGAAGGATTTCTCAACTGCGACATCTAATTTCAGGAACTTCTCTGCCTGCATACTGTCATTTCCTTAAGTTTATTTGAACAAACTTTTTATTTGCATGTTGATTAATTTTGAGTTTTAGTTTGTGTTAGTGTTTAGATTTTTTTTCCTTTGGAAAATGAAAAAAACAGCATATTTTGATGGGATGAAAATATGGAAATGTATCAGTAATGAACATATGTTATATTTTAGTCATAAAACTGCAGCAACTAATACTCTTTATGATTATAATTATAGCTTAAACTCAGAGTAATTATATAGCCAGACATAATAACTACAGAAATAAATTATATGAGATATAACTTATAAATGTTTTTTTTACTATATCTATTAAATAGATTGCACATAAAATAGTATTGCACTGGAGATATAATACAGATTTAGAATATTACCCTCTAGAAGACAACTTTTCTTTAGATATGTAAAAATTATCATATAATGGATGTGTGTCTAACTAGTCTTGGTAATGTATCAAAACATTGAAAAACTTGATATCTCTTAGATGAGGTAAGGTCAAATAACATTTTCCCCTCTTTTTTTTTTCTAAGGGAAGAACTTTTGCAAGCTGGTGTACCAAAATATCCATATCCTGATTACCTTACACGTACTGATATGGAACTAAGGAGAATCATAAATGCTCAGGTAAGATTGGAGATTAAAATGTATATTTGCATTAATGCAACCACAAACTGATATCTTTTACCACTATCAGTAAGTTTCAGGAACTCCTGAATTTTGGGAAATAAACTTGATATTTTTCAGGGGGAAATGTATTCTAACCAAGTTTTAATTATGTCATAACTATTTCACATATATATGAAGTTTTAATACATTTATGCATATTTTTAAGAATTGGAAAAGGTTGTCCCATTCTCAACCAATATAAAAACAAATGATTACCTTTTACAGGAGCGTAATAGAGATAATTTCACACCGATTAAGTCTAATATAACTATTCTCAAGACCATTTATTTCTTGACCTCTGTAAGGGCTGTGTCTGTCAGATATTGGGAAAACAGAAGGCTAAAAAGAATATTGTAAAATAGATTATGAAAGATCTATCCTTCCCTTCTTATGCATTATTTCATTGATTATACATACATCAAATTGGTGTTGACTCTTAAACACATAGATAGAATTTCTTATGCATATACACTACTTATATCACAGCATAAGCAATTTGAAATGAATAGATGTACCTATGAATGAGCCATAGGGAACATTGTTTAGATATATGTTCTTTACTTAAGCTACTTACACAGTTCTATCCCATTGAGAGGGGGGAATGTTGAGTGACTGTAGGTGCTATTTTAGGGTGCAGTCTGACTCTAGAATTAGTTTATATGACTTTGCTGGCCCATATTTTAGAAACTACCTACCAGCCAATGGGAAATTTGAACATTATTCTCTCAATTTTTAATGAAATGTCAGAAGGTTCAACTGATATACAACTCAAACTCACAGCATCAAGGTAGTGCAGCTCAACATACAAACATTCAATTGTTTTACAAAGCCAGTTAATTAATATGTGAATGACAGTTTTTGTATATTTATAGAAAAATGCTGAAAATTACCTCAAAAAGTAGTCCCTGAAAAATATTATTCTCAATGTTCTTTTCTATTTATTGGAAACACTAGTTATATATTTATATAGTGCCATCATTGGAAGCTAGCATTTTATATTCAAATATTTTATATAGATAAGATAAATTTATTGTCATTGTACTCAGAACCTGAGAACAACGAAATAAGGTGCTCTTTCACAACATACAACTAAACAACACCAAAAGACATATACAAATAACAATGTAAAACAAATTAAAACAATTAACAGTTAAAAACTATACAACCAAGATATATATATGTTAAGACCACCAGATTCATAACTCTGCATTTAACCTGATCACAGCACTTGGGTAAAAACTATGTTTAAATCTTATATGCTTATATGGTAGTAGTCAATATCTGGTATGGAACTGGTATTAAAAGTACTTACTATATGGTCATCAATATAAAACAGCAGCTGATGAATGTCATAACATCAAAAATATTATATTAACTATTTTCAATCATGAAACCTAGTGAAATATTTGAACTTTGCTATTATATTTTCATTGCCGAAGTCCTATATCAACATGGTAGGAAATTTAAACATTAATTGGAATTGAAAATATTTTAAATATTTGTTATAGTTTTATTTACATTCCCAATTTTATAATGATAATTATTGACTTCTACATATGTTTTATTGGAAATAGACCTATTCATATTATTTTGGGATCCATGAAATTATCTTTCTTTATAGAACCATGGAAACAGGAGAGCTGGAGGGCTAATTAAGAATAACAGATATATGCTCTGTTTTTAAATGTTTTCTTTTTGTTCAATAAAATTTTTAAAAAAGAATAACAGATATATGTATCATTAAAGAGATACTTGTTCTAACTTTTCATACTATACACAATACCTTCTGTTCAATTTGATAGTTTCAGATTTGTTTGAACTATGACAAATGTGTGATAAAGAAAGTGTGTGTATGTGTGTTTGTGTGTGTGTTTGCACAGGTTTGTGCACCATGGTAAATTATTTATTTTTCATATCTTCTTAATGTTTCAGAGGCCTAATTTACATGTAATTTCAGTGATAAATTAGATGAACCATTTCATGCTGTTTGTTCCCATACCTTCTTTATGATTATGCTTGCAAGAGAAAAAGAGGAAGGGAAACAATGAATGCAAATACAATTTTGTTACTGATTTGATGGCACATAACAAATCAACACATCTTCCCCATTAGTATTATAAATATTTACTAACCTCTCATGTGTCGGGTTCCTTTATAAATAAATATGGCCAATACAATCATCCTGATTGTAGAAGGAAATGTAGCCCTAGGTATGAGTAGCATGAATAAAGGCACATCCACTCATTGACTTGCATATTTCCAAAAATCAGCTCTATCATCTATGCAGTCTCACAATATATTCTGTGTTTGACAACTGAGCTGATTTATTTCCAACATAGCAGTAGCATATCCAGGATTACACTGAAGGTTATTTTCCATTAGGAATACTGAAACTCAGCTGAGTAAAGGACCATTTCCATCTCTTACTTCACTCTGACACTTGTTTTCAAGCCAGATTCTCTGACCTCTCTGTAGAAGTTCACTCATCAAATTTTGCAGTAGTTTCAAACTCAACCAAAGGATAGGTGCTGACTTTACAGACCCCCTTTGTTGTGCATGTGGGAGCATGGGGAATCATCAGAAAAGCAAATGCAACATGAGCTGAAAATGTAGACAAGCTGGAACATTCTTTGTGTTTCTGTATAGATTCTTTAGGGACAAAGCAATAATGTTGTTTACAGTATTTTGAGATTTACAAGAGTAATTGGATAATTTCAGATTGTTCTGGATGGATTGGAGTGTTGAGATGGTGGTGGTATGGTGGTACTGTTTCAATAAACATGGCCTTCATTCTTGCTATCTTTTGAAGAACTGTCCAGGGTTTCCCATCTTTCAAAAATGTTTAAAATCCATTATTAATGCTATTTCAGGACTAAATGAAGGAAATACATTATCTCACTGTATAAATTTTCAAAGCATTTTACTTCCTTTTCTAAAAAATCTCCATATTAGTCTTTATTCTTCTATTTGAATCTAATCTGTACTTTTTTCTTAACAATGAAATCATTATAGTTGTAGTTTTCCTTGACTATAGCCCTCAACACCTTTATTTACTTGCACATGCAATAGATATGATTGGTGCTATTTGTAAAAAGGTATTGGGCACCCATACATAGACACACTTGGTTGGAATGATAGTACAGTTTTACAGAAATAGTGTACACCAATGTTTTTCAAACCTGGCAACTTTAAGATGTCTTTGCTTCTTTTTCTCTCTCTTATGGTTTCACCTCATGTCCTTCATATATGTAAAGCTCATAGTTCTTAGCTTTCACTTCAGTCTCAAGTGCTGAATACATACATGCCTTCTTGGATCTTCTCCCACCATTTGCATTCTAACATTTTCTACTTCCATAAAGAAAGATGGCTTTGTGAAATATTTTATCATATTAATTTACCTGCTAATACTTTTGTACTTATTTAGAAATTGCTTATAGCATTCAGGAAAGTCTAATGTTTAGTAGCTTGCCTTATCTTCAAGGTCATTTTATCAGGAAGGAGATGGAGGAGCAAAGGGATACATGTGGGTAAACATAACTGTGTTATGTTTACATACATATAACTAACTCTATTAACTGACTAGTCCTACTCAGAGCCAATTTGTGAGATTTTTATATATTAACAGTGGAATGATATACCTTGAACTATAATGCACAAAGGTAAACACATATTTGATCATGATACTGGATAATAAACAATAGGTGCCTTTCTAAGCATTAGAAGTTATCAAATTAAAATGTCTTTGGGAAAGTTATTGGCTCTCACTGTCTAATGAATATTTCTCAGTTGGTATAAACAAAATAGGAATTGGGATTTTTTTTCAGAATTATAGAGATTATTACTACAGTAATTATAAGCCATACCAGAGAAAAGGTGAAACTAGTATTACAATATATATTATTATTTCACAGAAAACATTTTATCTTCTCAAATCCACTGTTATCTTTTCCCTGCTTTCTGAACATTTTTAATGTCACCACCTATACATTATATAAACCCATTCTCATTTAATAATGTATTCTAAAGTTTGATAAAGTACTACAGCCACACCTTGGTCATTTCTAATATTTAAGATAATGACACGGGAACATCAAAATAGTGATTGCTTCTCAGCAAACATTTGCTTCCGCCCCCACACTCCAAAACAGCCTGTTTAGTCTGGAATATGATAAAATAATGCATTCAAATACAGTTAATTATTGAGTATGTTCATTAAGGAATCATGAGCTGGAAAACAGCATGCTTGCTAGTTCATAGGGAGTAAATGTGTTACATTTATTTTGTGATGTTGACAGCGTGCAAGCTGTGTATATCTTCTTCTTTCAGGTAATAAGGGCAAACATATTGGGGAAGCAGAATAGTTCTATTTCAACCGTTTCCCAAATGTTTAGCATTGTTGGCTCCAGGGAGTTCAGTTTTAAAATAAATGATAATAAAGATGATATGAAGTCGTATGTGAAAATGTAGTGTATGTTTGATCCTTATACCTGTTCTTCAAATGTTTGATTCACAAGTTGTCAGTCAATTAAGCAATATCTTAAGAGTTACAAGAGTCTTAGCCTCATGAGTTTAACCAATTGCATCTAAAGAATTGCTTACTCTCTATACCAGGGCTGTCAAGCTTGTGGCTGGCCATGTCCCCTCCCAGCTTAGCGAAGGGTGAAAAAGTCCCAATACATCATGTGATGATGCCGTGATGCTGTGAATTTGATACCCCTGCTCTATATACTACATAATACCATCTCCTGCTTTTAAAATGTCACCATCTCTAATCCTGCTAATATCCATTTCCTAATTTCTTATCTATTATTGCACTATCTGGTGAATGATTAAACCAAAGTTTTGTGTTTTTATGTAATGCCAAAATCTTTATTAAGTAACATTATATTTGTTTTTTATTTATTTGCAACAGTGGGAAAGGGAATTGCAAATCAGGCTTCAGCTAGAAGAGAAACTCCAAGAATTAGAGCTTCAAGCAAAGCAAAAATTGGAAGAGGAACACTTCAGGCAAATAATGATATGGCGCCTAGAAAAGCTTCACAAGACAACCAAGCCGTATGAACTGCCCTTTAAACATAACGACACAAAAGCAACAGAAGCAAGCAGTAGCACTCAGCTGTCAGATGTATAACTGTCAGAAACATGGAAACCAGCTGTGTAAGAAGATAACTACACCTTAAAGGCAAATAAATGTATTAAAGCTTCTTTTCCCCTATCACACTCTTTTTTTTTTTTAGTTAAAGCTCTGCAATACTGAGTAATGAAGTGTGGATAAGAAAGTGCTAAAGCCATAATTGCTGCTGTATTCCTGATTGCAGTTGCTTCTCCAACAGTTTTTCATTGTGATGTTCCACATGTGTGTTTATAAGAATAAAAATATACCAGAAATCCTATGAGGGAAGTTAGGCCAGCTTGAGAGTGTTTTTGCATATAAACACAGAAGATGAGGAAAAGGTGAGGCACCAACCTCTCATCTTAGTAAGGCAACTCAGCAAGATAGTTTCCAGGGCCTGCTTTTCAATAAGAACACTCACAGTCTTCAGTTTCATAACACTGATATGTAACGATTAATTGAATTGTCTCCCATGAAATATTGTATTTATGGGGAATCATTTTCTGAAACTTGTTTATGGGGAATAATACATTTCTGAAACTTGTGTTTCTGGAGTATCTCACACCTTTGTTTTTGTTATTGTTTTGGCATCGTCAGTATTCTAAACAATGTCAAGAAAACCACCTGAAAATCTTTATCTAATGGTCTCTCTGATGCCGTTCCGAATCTTATATTCTCTCATTTCTTTTTACCTACACGAAGCCTTTCCTTCCTCTCTGTATAATTGTGCTATCAATTTTGCCATTTTTTTTTATTTGTGGATGTTTTATGCATTTATTTATCCACATTTGTATGCTGCCTGTTCAAGCAACCCAAGACATATTCTCTAATGTATAAACCTGTTGAAAGCAATACTATGTCTTCTTGGTGTTCATTTTTAAATAACTCTTTTTTTATATTTAATTTCTGTGAATACATTTGAGGTGATTTTTGGACAAATTATCATGTTGCTCTAAAGCTTCTCACAACTTATAGTTCTACATTACAAATTATTATAGCTACAGTATGCCATAGTATTTCTTCCAGGTATTTTAGCCATAGTACATGCCATTGTGCGATCATACATAGAACAAAAACCTGTAGTTCCAGGACATATATTGGAAAGCATACAAAGTTTTTGCATCATGTTTCTTCTTGAGTGTGTCTGTAAAAGAGAATCCTGTCAATCTCCAGTTTCATTTTTTCAGAAATATCTAGAGTGATCTTTACAGAAGACGAGTGAGGCAGAATAGTAAAGTGTGCCATACCTCTTGACAAATATGGTATTATCCTTGTTTTCCTCAACTGGATTTTGCAGCTTTATCATGATAAATAGGTGTCAAGAGACAATCCTGAGTATAACAAGAATAATAAAAGCCATATAGTTGTTCCATATACATTTCCACTGAACCTACATTTGTATTTTATCAGTGTGGTCTTTACTATTAAAACAAGGTATCTTGAATGGGCAGATGTAATATTCTTTTGATTTTATTCACAGGAATGCTGTTATAGTACACTGTATACTTATGTATAAGCCAAGAATTTTAGGTGCCAAAATATACACCCAAAATTGGATTTGGCTTATCTATGGATAGCTTATCCACAAATATATACAGTAATATTTTTAAAAGGACATGTATTTCTTGCATATACTTATGGATAAGCCCATCTGATGACGCACAAACTTTTAACCATTAAAAATGCATAACAGGAGGATTAATCATGGATAAGCCAATTGTGAAAATTAAAACAGAAAAGTTTTGAGGGTCGGCTTATCTGCATGTAGGCTTATCTGTGTGGTGAATTCATTCACACCGTCTGATTGTCAAATTCCATGACTGAGGTATCAATCAATTTTTATTCAGTTATTGACCAGCAAATAAAATTAAAAAATAATTATTATTTAGAATGAAAAAAGAAAAAAAATTAAAATACCTAGGAGAAATACCATGGCATACTGTACCTACTATAGAACAGTACTTAGTTATGGTCCAAGAAGTAAAATCAGATTGATCTGATAATAACAAGACAGAATGACCAGGATATTTTAGTAAGGAATGGAGATAATTCCTGGTGAGTATCTGTATAGAGGGAACAATACAAAATAATGTGTTGTATTTTTTCAATTATTCCTCCACCACAAGGACACAGTCTTTATTCAAAAGATATTTTTCAGTATTTCCCTTCAATAACTGTGGGGAGGGCATTGAATCTGGTCAAGGATAGGGCCCTTCTAAATTTTGGAATTCTTATGTGACTTAAGATATCTGGCTGTTGGTATGCGGACTAGCTTAGGAAGATGTTTCTAGGTAGAATGGGTAAAATTGCTTGCAGCTGTAAATCAGTGGCCTGCTTTTCATAGGTCATCAGGGTGGTGGTTAGTCACAAGAAGCCACAAAGTTGCAGATTGGCATGTATGGCTTTGTGCCAGGAAGGCTGAAAGCTATCGTCATAATTAGAGGAGCCAAGCACTCTGAAAAAATTGATTCCTTAAACCAGTAGAAGAAAATGAAAATACCTGGCAGAAGTTGCTACTTTAAGTAACCAGCTCCACTGCAAAACACCACATTCGGAACACAGCAAGGTACTTGAAAAAATCAATCTCAAGAATTTGGATTGAACTCTTTCAAAAGGAAAAAAAAATCTGCAGGGGCCCAGCTGAACTCCAAAAGGAAGCTGGGCTTGGATCCTAGCCAAGAAGACTTCAATGGCTGCAAGTATATTCTGAGTTTCTTTGGAGAAGTAGAACGTTTTTAAAGCCAATGCTGGGTTTTGTGCATTTAGGTTAACATCAGCAGCATGAAATTTTTGGTTGCCCACAGCATGCAAAGCAGACCCCAGATACTTAAAGGTCTTGACTTGCTCTACTGAGTGATTACTTAGCTACTAAATATGTGCCTTAAAGTGCTTAGCAAAAACTATGAGCTTGGTTTTGGAGTAATTAATTTCTAGTCAGTGTTCTTGACAGTGCTCAGCAACTATATAAAGAGCCTGTTTCAGGCCAATTTGTATTTGAGAAATTTGTCATCTGCCTATAAAAGAACAGATATGTGTCTATTTCCTAATTTTGCTGGATGAAGAGATCCATTTTTTTTCATGGGAAGAGATGAACTAGTCACGTACTTCAACAGAAAATCAACCTTTGAGAACTTTAGCTTTTGTACATAATTTTTTATAATCCATTATTTTCTCCCCAAATTTGGTAAGTGTGGTATACTAAATTTGGCCATCCAAGTTACACATTTTGTGAGTAGCATTTTAAATATAAGCCTGTTTTTTGCTTCTGTTTATATGGATTTGGAAGCAGATCATAAACTATATTTGTTTCATACAATAGCTTTCCAAAATAATGCTTTTGGGATTAGTTGAGTTTAAGGATGAAGTAAAATTTGTCCTCAAGCAACATAAGAAATTGGGGTTATATTTTGCTTTGCAGTCCAAAATTGCCAATTTTCATTGGCACATTTAGTAGACAGTTTTGATTCTCTGAACAACCTCAGTATAAAGCTGCCAAGAAACAATCATATCACCATGCCATTAAAGCATTCACCCCCAAAAAAGAAATGGTTTCTGAAACATTGGAAACAAACTGAGATACCTAACTTTTTATCTTTTTCAACACTGAACATTGTAAAGGGAATGTGAAGTACAATTTTGCATTTCAACTCAACTCTCTCCCAGTTGCATTCATCCACTATTTTCCAAGTAGCTTTTCTGGCAACGCTCTTCATAAATTAGTATGTAATCTCTTCAGGATTGATGTTGATACATTGCCAGGCATATTACTAGAAGAACTACTCAGTAGAAATAATAATTTCACTGAAAAAGATAATTTGGATGACATATTTCTCAATTTGGATGAAAAAGACAAAATGGTTTTTTTTCTTTTAGAAAATTGTTTTAAAAAGAAAACTTAAACAAAGGAATTGAACATATTTCAAAACTGATCTGTGTTGTCCACTTTCTACAGTCTAGAATTCTCAGCTTATAAAGAAAAAGAATGAACATTTTTATTTATGTTTTTATTTATGTTTTTATTTCTATTTATTATTATGAATGGATTGTGAAGATTAAAAGGGGATTAGTTTAAATGAAAGTTTAGAATGAAGGTTTCAAAAAAATTAAAGCAAGCATGATGCTGCAAAGTTTGGGGAGCTCCTGATTTAGACCCATTGAACCAAGCTTAGCCTAGGACAGGATTGCAAAAAGTGGATTAACAGCATCCTTTTTGCGGCCCCCAGAACCTTGCAGAATTGGCATATCTAAACATGTAAGCTCATTGTATGCATATTTGGGGATTGTACATGGTTTAACTGCCTTAAATAGTGCAGAATTTGAAAACACTGAATTTCTTCATACTGAACACTGAGTCTTGGCCCACTAGAAAATAGAAAGAGGCCCCACTTGGCCCTTTGACATGCTATGTAAAACCAGATGTACACATGAGCCAAAGGAATTAGTGCATCCTTACCAAGTGTTAACAGACTTGATATCCTTGTGTTGGGATGTATTATTTTACCACCTAGCATAACCAGATACTTTACATGTATAAAGCATCCCCTCTATTTTAATCAGGATTTATTTATTTTTTATTTATTTTGTCAAGCATGCATTTGATAATATATATAAGTGTGAACATGATTATCAATACATGAAATAGATACAAATAAAAGGCAACATTAAGACAGGGATGGTAGGCACGTTGGTGTGCTTATGCACACCCCTTACAGACCTCTTAGGAATGGGGTGAGATCAACAGTAGACAGTCTGAGGTAAAGTGTTTGAGATTAGTGGAAGAAACCACAGAGTCAGGTAGAGTATTCCAGGCATTGACCACCCTGTTGCTGAAGTCGTATTTCCTGCAATCTTATTGCACTGTTATTGTGCAGTTTACCCTGAGTTTGTATCTATTGTGTGCTTGTGTATTGTTAAGGTTGAAGCTGAAGTAGTCATTGACGGGTAGGACATTGTAATTGACAATTTTATGTACTACACTTAGGTCAGACTGAAGGCGACATAGTTCTAAGTTATCTAAGCCTAAAATTTGAAGTCTAGAAGTATAGGATATTCTGTTGAGAGTAGAGGAGTGGAGCAGTGGTGGTATTCTACTGGTTTGGCCCAGTTCTGCCAAGCCGGTAGTAGTGATAAGCAGCAGAGACCGAACCGCTTCTCTCCACCGCTCTGCTGTTGGGCCCACTTGCCCACCCGGGTTCCCATACTCACCTTTATCCTCTGAATTTGAAGTGCAGCTGCTTTGTGCAACACAGAAGAGTGCTGTGTGGTAGCTGCTGAAGCGACTGGGATCGTGCAGACTTGCAGGAGGTGAGTTAGAACACCTCTGCACCTG